GTGTGATTACTGCTCTGTGCAAGTGGAAATTCTGTGTAGAAATTCTTTTGGTCTTCGGCATTTATTTTTAAGTATATGTTTTCTCTCAGCTATTTTTGTTGTGTTCTGTATATTATTAGAGTACAGAAAACTTGACTTACACGGGCAATGTTTTTACTCTTGATATCAAGTGTTGGTAATTGCTAAGGTATTTTTATACAGCATCTGGTTTTAGCAGTGTCACTTATAATATTAGAAAAGCCTTTGTCTGTCTGTCTGTCTGTCCATAACGCTTTATCCGTGCTTTGATTGGCTGACAAACAGCCAATCAGAGTGTGAAGAAGTGTTTGGACAGGTGGCAGTGGGCCGCCATGATGGTGGGGACACAGGGGATGGAGTGATGGGGAGAAGGGGAGCGGGCCTGGACCCCATCAACAGGAGGGATGCGGGGAGCAGGCCTAGATGGGGCAGGGGGGCACGGGGCTCTGTCCCCACCATCCCATTCCCCCTCCCCAGCATCATTCTTGTTGGGCAGTTGGCTAGTATTATATAAATCAAATCCAAACTGAGGTGTCTTAAATTCACCACTGAATGGTGACACTGTCTGAGGCCCCAGGGGTGGCCGTGATACCTCCTGGTGGCCAAGCACTTCCTGCCCCATTCTGGTTCTTTGGGGTACCCTCCCTTTTACCTCATCCGGCATGCCTTGATGTGACTAATGATACTTAAGGAGGCTGCCCCATGTGAGCCTCAGTCCCTTGGCTACCTGTTGTCTCAAGTGCCTGGCTGGCCCCCATCTCATTTCTCCAACTGAGTCATGGCCACCTGGTCCTATCTGTGCCTTAGAGCACAAGCCACCTTAGGGGCAATAATCGTGGCCTCTGTCCTCCCCTGTAGCCACACGCATGCCTTGCAGGTGTTATTTGGATAATGTCCTGGACCTCCCTGTAGGGGCCTCAGCCTTCATGGCTTTAGCCCACTGTTATTCTAGCTGCTGGACTCCAGCCATTGCCCTCTTGTTCCAGCTGGCCTTCTTGGCCTCAGCCCTCTCTGTATGACAGTCTCTGGGCTCCTGGCCCCTGTCTCTCAGTCTCTGGGGACCCTGGGGTCCCAGACCTAGGCAAGGCTGCTCTTCTTACCTCTCAGCCCCCAGGCCAGGCAGTTCAGATGCTGCTCAGCAGAGCTGACCCTAGGGGTGTGTGGGGCCCAGGGCAGGCAGGGGGTTGCGAGTGGCTGGAGCACGAAGCCAGTGGTACGTGGTGAGCACACGGAGCGGTGGTGCCCCCGGCTCTGTTCACGGCCCCCCCCCCCCCCCCCAACGGCGGCGCCCCGGGCC